TCGTGTTAGTGACCAGCTGTGTTTGTCATATATATCTTGTTAGTGACTAGCTGTGTTTGTCGATATATCTTGTTAGTGACCAGCTGTGTGTTTGTCTATATGTCATGTTAGTTAGTGACCAGCTATGTGTTTGTCTATATATCATGTTAGTGACCAGCTGTGTTGCCTATGTCTATATATCATGTTAGTGACCAGCTATGTTTGTCTATGTATCGTGTTAGTGACCATCTGTGTTTGTCTGTATATCATGTTAGTGACCAGCTATGTTTGTCTATATATCATGTTAGTGACCAGCTGTGTTTGTCTATATATCATGTTAGTGACCAGCTGTGTTTGTCTATATATCATGTTAATGACCAGCTGTGTTTGTCTTTATATCGTGTTAGTGACCAGCTGTGTTTGTCTATATATCATGTTAGTGACCAGCTGTGTTTGTCTATATATCGTGTTAGTGACCAGCTGTGTTTGTTTATATATCATGTTAATGACCAGCTGTGTTTGTCTATATATCTTGTTAGTGACCAGCTGTGTTTGTCTATATATCTTGTTAGTGAGTAGCTGTGTTTGTGTATATATCTTGTTAGTGACCAGCTGTTTTCTTCTATATTAGTCATTCTCAAAATTCGTTCATATTTCGTGTACGCAAAAATTGCAAATTGTGTTTTGTTGTTTTACCTTGAAATGTTGTTGATTACATTCATAGTATTCTGAATATGCAAAACATAAATTATGCAAAAACAACAACATTTCATTCTTCATATTTTACCCTTTTTATTAGAAATTTCACGAGGAAGATCCGGGTTCGATTCCCCACATGGGCAGAATGTGTGAAGCTCATTTCTTGTGTCCCCCGCCGTGATATTGCTGGAATATTGCTAAAAGCGGCGTAAAACCATACTCAATGACTCCAAGAGAGTGGTTTAAACCATGCCACCATTAAACCAGTCATCGTCAGAGTGGATTCTGACAGTAGTTGTTCAGAATCAGAGTTGGATTCAGACGATCCCTCTGATGAAGGCTTTGAAACGTCCCCGCCAAACGATTGCGGTCGTCTCCATCCTTTCTCACACCAGGCTGTTCATCTCTTTGCACTCTTCCCTCGCCCTATGCCCGAGCCACCATCAAGGTCCATAAAGATCCCATCAAAGCCTGCCTCCCGTCTGCTCACGGAATACTGTTCATTATAATACTGCCGAGCACATGTCAAGACTCCTCGCCCCACTAGGAAACTCCAGTGAGTTCCGCAAGAAGATCAGAACCATCACTGAACCCGGCAAGCTGCTAAGCTACGACGTGGTTGATCTTTTCACCAATGTCCCCCGTGATGAAGCCCTAGCCTTCATCAATTCCAGAGTCGAAGAAATCCACTCCACCCTTGACACCAACCTTTCTTCCGACAGCATCACAGAACTCATCAACGGATGCGTCAGTTCCACCTACTTCACATGGAAAGATAAAATAGTGCAACAGACAAAGCAGTCACAGTGTTTACTGATGTCATCTGTAATGCTGCAAACGGTATGAAACGATCTTGTAATAATGTTAAGAAAACGTCGCAGCTCTGGTTTGATAAAGAATGTGAATATTATAGCTATGAAATTAAATTGGCTGTTATATGTGTTCATGTCTCATAAGGATCCGGTCTCTTTACAGATGCAAGAAATAAGTATACATCAGTCTGGAGAGATAAGAAGCGAACCATAATGTCAGTTCTTGTAACACTTTGTTAGATAATTGACACAATTGTAAAAGGTTCTGGTCTGTTTTCAAAAGACTTTCCACTAAGTTCATCCTGTCGACCCAATATATCCATAACACAGTGATCATTTAATGAATATATTTAACACGGATGTTGATGTAGTTGACGATGAAAGTATAGCTTTAGACATTGGCGAAGGGTTTGATAGCATGACTCAGTTCTTCCTCGATTCTCCAATTACTGAAGATGAAGTTAAACAAGCAGTCAAGGGTTTAAAATGTAACAAATCTGCAGTTGCTGACAAATTAATTGCGGAGTTTTTCCACAGTTACTTTGATTTGTTAATGCCTTATTTGGTAATATTATTCAATGCTATATTTGATTCTGCATACTTCCCCGAAGCATGGTCGGTGGGAATCATTGTTCCCTTGCACAAAGGTGCATATTCATTCTCCTAATAATTACCGAGGAATTACAATTTTAATCATCTTTAGTAAAATGTATGTATCTATTTTGAATAGACGTTATATTGACAATATATTTATTTTATAATCAGTCATTCAACGGTATTTATCAAAGAAAAGGGGTAAGCTCTATGCCGTATTTGTAGATTTCTCAAAAGCTTTTGATCTAGTGAATAGGTCGAAATTATGGATGGTTTTGATAAAGAGAGGAGTTTCTTCAACAAGCTATATACAATCGAGTGCGTTCATGTGTTAAGTCTAATAATATGCATTCGGATATGTTTGACTGTGATTTGGGTGTACGACAGGTTTGCGTCCTTAGCCCATATCTGTTCTCTATCTTTATTAAGGAATAAGCACAGGAAATCGATTCCACGTGTAAACCCCGGTATCCAGCTTCATCCAGAGATGATTGAACTGTTCATATTATTGTTTGCCGACGATGTCATTTTGATATCTGACACAGTCTTTGGTCTCCAGAAAGAATAAACATTCTTGAATCATATTGCAATAATTACCGAGTTAACAGTTAATTTGGATAAGACTAAAGCGGTTGTTTTCAAGAATGGGGTATTCTCTCGAGAAGGAAAAATGGTATTATGGAGAGAAATGTCTCGAGTGCGTGCCATTCTATAAACATTTGGGTATAACTTTTACTAAAACATTATCGTGGGATAAACATACCACAAGTGCAGCTGCTCAGGCTAGAAAGGTTTTGTTAGGTATACCAAGAAAATTACATAGATTTAAACCAATTCGTTTGAATTATTTTTAGGATATTTGACACATAAAATTATGCCTATTTTTACTCTATGGGTCTGAGGTTTGGGGGCTAGATAGTATAACAAATATAGAAACCATTCATATGCTTGCGTGTAAACGCTTCCTTGGAGAGTGAAGACATCAACACCAATTTACACAGTATTTGATGAATGTGACAGGCATTTGGCATTTAAACGTTCCATAACATTTTTGGATTAGGTTATTATATAAGCCTAATGTAAGTGTTACAACATGCTTTTTACAAGCAGCTAACAATGGTAAGAATAATGGGATTCTAATTGAAGTATGTATTGTTTCGACTTGGATTTGACTATGTATTGGAGTCACAAACAATAAGAAGTAGTAAGAATCTTGGCAAGATTAAAATGCTCGTTTGAACACTCCTCTCTTTCACAGCAGTTCTAAAACCAGAAATTATACTTTCTTTAAAAGGTACCTTTGGAATGGAATTATATCGCAAACGATTAACAATTGTAAAATTCCGCGTGACCATGGCGCAATTTCGTTGCCGTTCCCATGGACTCAAAATAGAGAGCAGATATGTTAATATTTCTGTAGATAGAAAGGTTATTGCACTGTGTGTATTGAAGGCTACATCCTTCTTTCCAATAGTATAAGATTCTTTGTCATCCTTCCTCCATCTGACAACCCCAACATCCTTACTCCAAACACCCTAAACTCCCAACACGATGCAGTTTTACTATGGAATTAGAAGTGGACAACCAACTTCCCTTTCTAGATGTCCTGGTCCAGACAAATGACAAGAAGGTCGACACACCAGCGTCTACGACAAACCAACACACATACGGACCAGTATCTCCATTTCTCCTCCAGTCATCCTATTCATCACTTGCTAAATTAATTTCATGCCAGCCCTAATCAACCATTGTACATTATCCATGTAGCAACATCATTTCACTACTGGCTTCCCAACAGTCCCTTTATCACCTATGTAAACAACCTATGTACATCATTCCCTACTGGCTGCACAACAGTCCCTTTATCACCTATGTAAACAACCTATGTACATCATTCCCTACTGGCTGCACAACAGTCCTTTATCACCTAATATGAAGTAACCTATGTACATCATTCCCCACTGGCTGCCAGAACGGCCCCTTTATCACCCTAATATTAAACAACCTATATACATCATTCACTACTGGCTGCTGTACGGTCCTTTATCACCCTATGTAAACAACCTATGTACATCATTCCCTACTGGCTGCACAACAGTCCCTTTATCACCTAATGAGAAACAACCTGTATGCATCATTCACTACTGGCTGCACAACGGTCCTTTATCACCTATGTAGAAGCAACCTATGTACATCATTTCACTGCTGGCTGCACAACAGTCCTTTATCACCTATGTAAACAGCCTATGTACATCATTCACTTATTTGCCGCCCAGCAGTCCTTTATCACCTATGTAGAAGCAACCTATGGCCATCATTCACTACTGGCCACAGCATTCCCTTTATCACCTATGTATGAAGCAACCTATGTACATCATTCCTACTGGCCGCCCACAGTCCTTTATCACCTATGCCAGAAGCAACCACTGTGTACATCATTCACTACTGGCGAGCACAACCAGTCCTTTTATCACCCTATGTAAAGCAACCTATGTACATCATTCTTTACTGGCTGCACAACCGGTCCTTTGTCACTATGTAAGCAACCTGTGTACATCATTCGCTGTTGCCGCCAACTTGGTCCTTTGTCACCTGTAAAACCAACCTATGTGCATCATTCACTGCTGGCTGCTGTACAGTCCTTTATCACCCTATGTAAAGCAACTTCATGTACATTCATTCACTACTGGCTGCACAACAGTCCTTTGTCACCCTATGTGAAGCAACCTATGTGCATCATTCACTACTGGCTGCACAACGGTCCATAATCACCCTATGTAAACAACCTGGTGTTGCATCATTCACTACTGGCTTACTTACAGTCCGCTTTATCACCTATGTAAACAACCTGTGTACATCATTCCTACTGGCTGCTGCAACGAGATCCTTTATCACCTATGTAAACAACCTATGTACATCATTCCCCACTGGCTGCCCAACAGTCCCTTTATCACCTATGTAAACAACCCTGTGTTACGCTCATTCACTACTGGCTGCACAGCGATCCCTTTATCACGTAATGTAAAACAGCCTATGTACATCGATTTCACTACTGGCTGCTGCAACAGTCCTTTATCACCCTATGTAAAACAACCTATGTACGCATCGTTCCCTACTGGCCGCTTAGCAGTCCTTTATCACCTGCTTCAGAGCAACCTATGTACGGCATCGTTCACTACTGGCGGCCGCCTAACAGTCCCTTTATCACCTAATAACAGAAACAACCTATGTTACATCATTCACTGCTGAGGGCGGCACAACGGTCCTTTATCACCTATGTAAACAACCTGTAATGCATCATTCACTGGCAGCACAACGGTGTATGCCTATGTAAACAACCTGTGTTGCATCTCATTCCTACTGGCCTTAACGAGTCCTTTATCACCTATGTAAACAACCTGTCCATTCCGCTACTGGCTGCACAACAGTCCCTTTATCGCCTATGTAAACAACCTATGTACATCATTGCTACTGGCTGCACAACAGTCCCTTTATCACCTATGTAAACAACCTATGTGCATCATTCACTACTGGCTGCTGGCAGTCCTTTATCACCTATGTGGCAACCTATGTACATCATTCACTACTGGCTGCACAGCAGTCCTTTATCACCTAATGTAAACAGCCTATGTACATCATTCCCCACTGGCTCGCAGCAGCCCTTTATCACCTATGTAAACAACCTATATATCATTCACTACTGGCTGCTGCTTTGTCCTTTATCGCACCCTGTGTAAAACAACCCTATGTACGTCATTCACTACTGGCAGCACAACGGTCCTTTATCACCCTATGTAAACAACCTATGTACATCATCCTACTGGCTGTGGTCCTTTATCACCTAATGTAAACAACCTATGTGCATCATTCGCTCTGTGGCTGCACAACAGTCCGCTATCACCTATGTAAACAACCTATGTGCATCATTCACTACTGGCCCAACAGTCCTTTATCACCTATGTAAAACAACCTATATTGCATCATTCACTGCTGGCTGCTGTAGTCCTTTATCACCTATGTTAACAACCTGTGCATCATTCTACTGGCTGCTTAACGGTCCCTTTATCACCTATGTAAACAACCTGTGTACATCATTCACTACTGGCTGCACAACAGTCCTTTATCACTATGTAAACAACCTATGTATCATTCACTACTGGCCGCCCTACAGTCCTTTATCACCTATGTAAAGCAACAGCGCATCATTCACTGCTGGCCGCCCAGCAGTCCTTTATCACCTGTATGTAAAACAACTTCTCTACATCATTCACTACTGGCTGCACAACAGTCCTTTATCACCTATGTTAACAACCTATGTACATCGTCACAACAGTCTGCTGTAGTCGCTTTATCACCTATGTAAACAACCTATGCACATCATTCACTACTGGCTGCACAACAGTCCCTTTATCACCTATGTAAAACAGCCTATGTGCATCATTCACTGGCTGAAAACACAACGGTCCTTTATCCACTATGTAAACAACCTACTGTGCATCATTCACTACTGGCTGCACAACGGCCCGCTATCACCTATGTAAACAGCTTCTGTACATCATTCACTGCAAACACTTTTACAACAGTCCTTTCTCACCTAATGTAAACAACCTATGTACATCGATTTCCCTACTGGCAGCACAACAGTAATTGAATGATGTCTATAAATTGATTTATAAATGATAAAAAGTTGAATGTCAATGATAATAAAGTTGTTATGGAATGATAAAGGTGATACATTCAAAGTCTATAGGTGTTGGAATGATAAAGTTGTTAATGCAGCCAATGTGGTATTCTTCCATAAATTGTTTATGGTGACAAAGTTTTGTTAATGCAGTGAGCGATATTACACTCGATTGTTTACATGGTGATAAAGGACTGTTGTGCAGCCAGTAAATGATATTACATAGATTGTTTATGGAGTGATCATGCGTATGGTGGTGATGCATGGAGTTGTTTATGGAAGGACTTTGTTGAGCATGAATGATGTGCATAGGTGTTATGGAGTGATAAAGGACTGTTGCTGCCGGTGAGTGATGTACATAGGTGTTTATGGAGTGATAAAGGTTTGTTATGCGCCAATGCGTTGATGCTGAAGCGTATTGGTATTGATGTGCATGGGTTGTTTACGCGGGTGAACAAAGTTTGTTGGGCATTCAGTATGATGCCAGGTTGTTTACGCTGGTGATGGACTGTTGTGCGGCCAATGATGATTAACATAGATTCGATTTACATGCGTGAATAAAGGGACTGTTGTGGTGAATGATGCGCCAGGTTGTTTATGGAATAAAGGACTTCGATGAATACGCGTTGTTTGTGGGTGAATAAGCGGCGTAAAGGTGATGGCTGCGTAGTACGCTGGGTGACCAAAGGTTTATTAAAGCGTCAAACGATGATGTGCGGAGTTGTTTACGCCAGGTGATTGAGACGTTGTGCGGTGTTTCAATGCATGGGTTGTTTACATGGGTGATAAGGACTGTTGTGCGGCCAGTGGTGCGCCAGTTGTTTACATGGAAGGACTGTTGTTGTCAGCCAGTGGTATGGTGATAAAGGACGTGGAGCTGAATGATGTGCGCTGGAGTTGGGCTACGCCAGGTGATAAAGGACGTTGTTTGTCCGGCTGTGCGGAGTTGTTGCGGTGACAAAAGGACTGTTGTGCTGCCGGCAGTAATGATGCATGGGTTGGGTCGCGATTGAACGTCAATGAATGTTCATGCATGGGTTTATGGTAAAGGTTGTTGATGACCGTGGTGATACATGGGTGGACAGGTGAAAGGAACGATTGGCGATAAATGGATGATCAATACATCGAATGAATTGCATAGTGATAAGCTGATGCAACCGGTAACCCAGCAGGTTGTTTATGGTGATAAAGTTTCGATTATTCTTTATACAACAGTCGGGCGATATGGGTGTTTAGATAAAGGACGTTGCAGCCAGCCGAATGATGTGCATGGAGTTGTTTATGGGTGATAAAGGTTTTGTTGTGCGGCCAGTGAATTTTACATAGGCGATAAAGGGGCTGTTCGTGAAATGATGCGCTCAAATTCGTTTACATGGTGACTCAAAGGACGTTATTTGGCTCGGCATGGAGTTGTGCGAGAATGATATTATGGAGTTGTTCCATGGAGCGATGTGAAACAGTGAGAATGATGTTACACATGGAATGCAATGGTGATTGAGGCCGAAGTGATGAACAGAGATGACTGGAGGAAAATGAATACTGATCCGTACTTCAATGTCGTGAACGCTGATGTCGTACCTTCTTTATCATTTGTCTGGTTTCAAGTGGAGTTGATTGTTCTAATTCCATATTAATTTACGTCGTGTTGGGATTTGAAGTGTTGAAGAAAGACTGTTGATCGTCAAATGAAGTGACAGAGAAAGGATGTAACATCAGCACGCAGTCTTTGTCTATCTACGAAATATTAACATATCTGCCTGTTTCAGTCCCGTAAAGGCTGGCTGAAATTACGCCATGTCACGCGAAATTACGGTGATGTCGTTGCGATATATTCCAAAAGAGTACTGAAAGTATGAACTACAGTTTCAAAACTGCTGAAGTGTTCAAACATTTATTTATCTGCCAGATTATTTTGCGCGGTGTTTGGCGACTCAATATGGTCGAAATCCGTCGAAGCACATACTTCAATTGATATCTTACCGTTAACTGCTAATTTATTGCCGATGAACGCAATCAATGTTAATGGGGCCGTTGATAAATGCTTGCGTTAAATCAAATACTGGTAACCAGTGTTGACCATCAATTTACCTGGCTATAGACGGTTTCGTTGTTAACCAGCCCCGAACCTCAATTATCAGGTAAAATGAGCATAATTACAGTGCCGTCATAATTCGAGCGGAACCGACCAAATCTGTGATTAACGGTGTACTAACTGGTATGCGTGTTTGATGTGTTTTGGTAAAGTTATACTTAAATCGTTTATGAATGGCGCACTCGGGCACATTCTCCATAACCGACACCTTCTCCGGAAGATACCCACGTTAAGAATAACTGACCCGGCAATTGTGCAGTATATTTCTGGAGACAAAGACGACGGTCGAATATCAAAATAAATAGGCACAATATGTTCGGTTCAATCATCTCTGGATGAAACTGGTCTACCGAGGTTGCGATGAACATTCTTTTAATAAGATGAAGGTGAATGGGCTGGTACACTAAAATCTGTCGGTTTTATATCCGATACTTTATTATGAACTTATGAACACCGCTCGATGACTGTATAACGAACTCTTTGTCGAAACCGTCACGCAGATCAAAAAGCTTTTGAAGAAATCTGAAATACGACGTAAACGCACCTGGCGATAAATACTGGATTGAGGAATGACGTTATAAACAAATGCTGACCGGTCGATATAACGATGCATTCAAACAGACACGTATTTACTAAAGATGATTGAAATTGGCAATTTCCTCATTGACCATTGGAGAATGGTATGCGCCTTTGTGCGAGAATGATTTGATAGCTTCGGTATCAAATGTGGCGATTGATAATGACCGCAAATGGGCATTATTTTAATGACTCCGCCGGTATTGTCGTATTACATTTAACCTTGACACAACGTTAACTTTCGTCTTCGATGATGAGTCGGTGATCGTGCAAACCATTTTAGCCAATAAAGCTATACTTTTCGTCGGCTATCGACGTCGTGTTAAATATGATTCGTTAAATGATCGCTGTTATGAATTATATTGGGTCGTGGGCGAACAGTAATCTTTGGCGCGAACCGAAACGCTGAGCCGACGTCAATTATCACAACAGTGTTGAAACGACATTGTTAAACTGCTCTTCGAACCGATGACGGCACCTTCTTGCGTCTGTGAAGTTTCCGGATCTACATGGTTTTAATAATTTTATATATTTATTGCATTCGGCTGTCGGAGCCGGAACGCGACGTTTTTCTTTGATATTACAGATCTTCCGTTCTGGCGTTACAGACTACTTCGAACTTCTTTGTCTTGTTAACCATTATCTTTCCGTGAAATGGTGAATTTGTTTTGCATAAGGTACGGCGTCGCTGATACGGTTGATGATGAAAGATCCCGGCCACGTCGTGGCAAACTTATGGTCGACGATGATTCGATCTTGCGGAACGCTGAATTTCGAAGACGAGATGTTGACGTATTGGCTCGACGATATTCCCGCTGTCCGTGGAACGGACGATGAGGATCTTCAGTAATGAAATAATAGACGACCGAGCAGTGCAAAGATAATTAATGGAGATTTTGTTTCGTTGGCGTTCAGACTCTGATTAAGACGAACGTCGAGAATCCACTCGACGATGTTTTCGGTTAATGGTTTAAACGCGGAGTCATTGGTATGGTTTTACGCCGCTTTAACCCAATGTTCAACGTCGCGACGTGTGAAGTCGGATCTTCGTCGTAAAAGGGTAAAATATGAAGGAGAATGGCTGCGCCAATTATGTTTTGCGTATTGCCGCCAGATGTGATCGGCGCAACATTTCAGGTAAACAAACACGATTGCATTTTTCGTGCGAAAATGAACGATTTTGAGGTATGGTCACCAGATGCTGAACACCGGCATAACAGATAATATGAACGGAAACGCGGCTGGTCGCCAACAGACTATGGACAGGCGCGGCTGATCATGGCATGTTAACAAACAGAAGCACGGCTGGTCGCTAACGGCTAACTGGTCACGGCGGTCTGGTTTACGATAAACACCGGCTGATAAATTAACATGATAATGAACGAACACGGCTGGTCACATAACATGATATATGAACGGTACGGCGGTCTGGCATGTTCATATGAACAGGCATGGCGGTCATAACATGATACTGAATTGGTACAGATGTTTTGCGATACATCGTTAAACATGTGGTCGCTTTATGATATGGCGTTTCAGGCACGACATGATATGAACGGTCACTGGCATGGGCATATGAACAACCACGGCTGGTCACCAACAGGTGTCGTTTCAAATTTACGGCTGATCACTGAAAGATATGAACAAACGCTGGTCGCTATTTTGATATGCTCTGGCGGTGACTTAACATGATTATGAACCGAGCACGGCGGTCTATTATGGTTTTCAAACACGGCTGATCGCCAACAGATATATGAACAGCTGGTCACTAACATTAATATCGAAACACGGTTCATAACGATATGAACGAACGCGACCGGTCACTAACAGATATGAACAGGCACAACAGTCTGCAGATATGAACCAACAGGTGTCGACAACACGACTGATTATGGCGTAAAACGCAACAGTCACTTTAAGATATGAAAGAAACACGGCTGGTCGCTAACTTTACGATATGCAGAAACTGCAATAACATGATAACATACCAGGCACCGGCTGATCTTTAAGATTATGGAACTGAGCAACTGGTCTCTTTATGGGCCTGTATACGCAAACGCGACTGGT